GGGAGTAGCCACAAGCCCATGCCAACATGGCGAGCAGAGCGTGCTCTAGATGGCCCTGTGTGCCAAGCCTGCTCCCCACAGGGCCGTCAGCATCTCAAGTTTTGAACTATTGTGTGTCATATTTCCATATTAAGAGATTTTTAAATTTCAGGTATTAACATTGCTTTCATTACTATTAATAAAATATGAATCCTTGCATGTGCTAAGGTCCAGCATCATGTGAATTGAGGTTTGAGGCAAAACAAAGCAACACAGATCCACCCTGAGAATCTTGGGGCTACACTAGGACTGAAGCTTTGAAGAGCCGCTCCTCTCTTCCCCTCTCTCCCCCTGGGCAGCCTCCTTTGTTCCTCTGTGAGCCTCCAGGGCCCTGCATTCCAAAAAGGATTTCTCAGATGTGTGAGCAGTGTTCCAAGCACTGACACAGACTGGAAAGAGGCCCCACCTGTCAGGTGTGCAGAACAGCCCCACAGGGGGCTCTGCAGGGCGGGGGTGCTGCCCCAATCCTGGCTTGGCATCATCTACTCCCTATCCCTAAACACATCGACCTCAGATTGTGAGGATTTGGCTTTAGGTGAAAATCCTCAGGACTGAGATATTTTGCAAAATATACCTAAACTCTGAGGCTATGGGTTGATAGGGGAGAATTTGAAATTAAAAGTTGAAAACAGAAATGACTGAGAAACATTTCCCTTCTTATGGGTGTAAAGATGAAACTTCTCAAATCTGAGAAAGCACACATGAACTCTACCCAGGACAATTTTAGAAGTTGGCAGATTTGTCGTTGAGAAATGGGGATGGAGAAGAGTAAGTGGGTCTCCTCCCAGCCCTGCTGCGTCTCCGTTCTGGGCTGCTCCAGGTGAGCGAGTCACTGCCACAAGGGAAGACGTAAGCCTAGTCGTCATAAGTTGTTCAGCCCTGACACTGTTTATTAAGTCTAATAAAGAGGGCTGTGTCCGTCGGACCCCAGAGGACCCTGTTTTCTGCAGAGAAGCAGGATGGCAGAGAAAGAACGAGGAAGGAGCATCCCGAGAAGCTGTGCCCGGTGGGGGATGTTGGCAAGCCTAGTGAAATGGCAGCCCTAGGGGTCGTGACCTACGGCCACACCCGTGCCCCAGCCACACACCTGAGATGGACACTCGGGCGATGGGAAGGCCGCAGGGGCCGCTGTTCAAGCAGATGAGATGGGAAGGAGTACCTAGGATATGGAGACATGCCTCCTCCCAGGATGGGGGGCAGTAGCTAAACGCCCACAGGTGAGTCTCCAGGAGAGCAGGACGGACTCCCAACCCAGGCAGGACCTGGGAAGCCCTCTTCATACCTGTGCTTCTCAGAACGGCAGGCTGGACCCAGTCCTGCATCAACATATGGTGCCACTGTCTGGGAAAGGAAGAACGAAGGGAGGGAGGAGTGAGGGAGAAAAGAGAGAGGGAGGACAGTACCACTCACGGGAGGGATGAGTAGAGCTCAGACACACACTCCAAGAGGCCTGTCCTCCTGCAGAGTACAGCCAGCAGAGTTGGGAAGCCCCTGCTTTCAACCACTTGCCAGGCTGTGCAGAAACATAATGGAGTGGACTGGGGTCCTTCCCAGATGCCCAACCGCCAATCACTCCCAGTCCAGCAGGCCCTGGGACCCGAGTGGAGATAGATGCCCGAGAAGGGATATCTTTTCTGATTTGATTTGTGAGCTCAGATTTTTGAGCACCTTCTAATCTCCAAGTGTGCAGGACTTCAGAGGAAGTGACCACACACAGGCGAAGCTCAGGCACTAAGAAAGGAACGGAGTCAGTAACTAGAGAAAAAATGATTTTTAGCAGGCAGTTTCCAGCTCGCTCCATGAACAGAACGAAGTGGAGAAATCTTCATGGAAAGAAATGTAAGAGAAAGGGGAAGCCCAAGGAAGCAGTGTGGACACCCTGAAATCACGTTTCCTTCCCCCACTCCACCACGGCAGCTGGACACTGGGAAGGACAGCGGCATAGTCAGGAGCTTCCTAGAGGTCGAGGGGAACATGTTGTCCAGAAGGAGCCCGGCCAGATCACCAGGGAGGGCTACAGTCTGGGGATCCAAAGCAAGGGCTGGTGTTGATTTAAAAAGCACAAAGGGACACAGAAAAAGAATTCTTCAGATCAGAAACAAGAGAAGGAGAGTGAAATCCCTGTTCCCTGATTTAGGAAGGAGGAGGAGCCTGGTCATCACCAAGGAGGCGGCTGCAGACAGAGCTGGTTGGCACAGAAGCATGCCATGCTCAGGCTGCCTCTGGCTGGGTAGCTGGGCAGGCCTGCTGCAGGTGACGGGCAAGGGACAGCCCTGCCAAGTCACCCCATGGGGCAGAGGGGTTTGCATTGATTGTTAACTCACACTCACCTGGGGAAACTGCCTAGCCAGGAGGTGGAAAACTAGCTGCAGGACTGGACTCCCAGACCCTCACTCAGGCAAACGTGAAGCCTGACAGTCCAACCACTGACCACGTACTTTCCCAGGTTTTCATTCACCCTAGGACGAGATTTACAGAGGAGGCTTAAGACATGAAGACTCCAGTCAGGACGGCAAGCAGGCCTCATCCCTGATTGATCTACAGCTATTTGGAGCACCTGGTGAAGTCTCAAGGCCCACTCCCCTTCCACAGGAAGGCATACGTCAGCTCTCCTGTGACTGGGGCTAGGGCTGCGGTGGGTGAATGGTGGCTCTCCACAGCGGTGCATCTCTAGGGCCTATAAATGCAAAGTTGTTAAAAGGATCACTGCTGATGTGATGAAGCTAAAACCCTGAGATGAGATCACCCTAGATTTAGGTGGGCTCCAAAGTCAAGTGTCCTTTTAAGAGAAGGGGAGAAGACAGAGCAGGTGGGGACAGAGACTGGAATGTGGCCCACAGCCAACGTATGCTGGGAGGAGAGGGAGGCCTCTCCCCTGGGACCTTCAGAGGGCATGTGGCTCTGCTGCTACTTTGACTGAACTGCTGCCCTCCAAGACAGTGACACAGTGAACTTCTGATGCTTTTAAGCAAGGTAGTTTGTGGCTATGTGCTTATCAGCCCTAGGCAACTAGAAGGAGAGACATCAGTTTGCAGGCGAAGTGCTTGCTGCCTTGGTGTGACCTGAGTTTACAAGGATCCGAGCCTCTAGCTAAAGTGATAGAGCAAGAGGACGGGATTTCAGGCACCTGCCAACCACAGGGAGCACTCTTTGGGGGTGGGACAGTAGAAGAAGTGGCCCTGCGTTGCTGAGAAGACAGTATTTGCTTTGGCAGAATGAGAGAAACGCGACATATTAACTGGTGCTTGTGGGACTCTGGTTGAGTCCTGAGAGTGATTGGTAGTCAGAGAGCCTTCGTGGGAGGAAAAAGGGACAGAACCACCATCTGTCGAATACCTAACGTGCCTCTGGACAGGCACATGGTTTAATCTCTGCACTGGGTAGAGCGAGTATTCCGAGGCCATGATTCAATCAGCTACATGCGCTCTGGTGGCCAGGAGCAGATCTGACCTCAGTCTTGGTCTCAGTTCCTCCAGGAAGTTCCCCCCACACCATGCTGCCTCCTCCAGGAGGTCTTCACTGATTGTTCTAGGACTGTTTCTCAATGTAAATTATACTTGAGGTAAATTGATATACAAACCACACTAATTTTAAATGTACTGCTGTTGAGTTTTGACACACATATTTACCTGTGAACATCACCAAATCCAGGTTGTGACCCATCTGTCAACCCATGGTGCTATCTCGTGCCTCTGTTCCCCTTTCCCTGCCTGCCTGGTGTCCCCTAGGTGACTGTGACCTGTTGTCTGTCACTGGAGAGACCAGCTTGCATTTTCTAGCATTTTACATGAACAGAGCCCTGTAGCATGGCCTTCTCTGCTGTGCTCATGGGCACAGCCACTTTAGGGTCACCCCTGGGGCTGAAGCAGCACTGCACCCTTTGACAGCTCTGCTGTCTTTCCATGTGGACAGATGCCACAGTGTGCCCAGCCGTTCCCTGGCTGATGGACATCTGGGTTGTCCCCAGTTTCTGGGCAATTGTAGATATGGCTGCTGTGAACCTCCATACACAAGTCCTTCTGTGAACAGAGGCCTTCACGTCTCTAACTTTGTGAGACGCTGACAGTTTGTAAAACAGTGGCACCGTCTTATCTTCCCACCAGCAAGAAGAGATTATTTCAGCTACTCCACATCTTAATTTTTAATCATATTTTCGTACTCTAATTAATATATAATGGCAATTTGTTGTGGCTTTAATTTGGATTTCTCTAATGACTAAGGATTTTGAGCATCTTTTTCTTATGGTTGTTTACTATCCACATGTCTTCTTCACTCAAGAATGTGTTCAAAAGTTTGTCTATTTTTAAATTGTGTTGTTTTCTTATTAGGTTTTGATATCTGATTAAAAAAACATCTGGAATAAAAATTTGTTATCAGATATTTACAAATATTTTCTCCAGTCTGAGGGTTGTCTTTTTATTTCAAACTCTGGAAATCCACCCACAAGGGGCCAGTTTGGGTTGGCCTCTGTGTAATGGAGGGGACCTCATCTACTCAAGCTCAGAAGCCTGTGCAGTACCCCCGCTGGTAATATCAGCAACTCAGGAGGCTGAAGCAGGAAGATGGCAGGTTCAAAATTAGCCTGAGCAACATGGTGAGCCACTGTCTCAAAATGAAAACCCAAACGGCCTGGGGATGTAGCTCAGTGGTAGGAAACAATGAATTAAAACAGCCCCTGCAGCTGTGACATTTATCCTAGGATTCCATGATGACATTGTGGGGAGAGATGCTCAGGAAGTGTCCTCAGATCTTCCCTGAAGTGACTGCTGAAAGGCTTTTAGTGCCCAGTGCCACTTGGACATCCCCATTAGCCAGCGCTTCTGTCCCAGGGCAGGGGAACTGTGTGGAGCCAGGCGATTGGCAGACTGCTCTCCTGCCCCGCCCCCCACTCCTGCCCCGCCCCCCATGACTCCTTCCCCCATGACTCCTTCCCCCCAGGGCACTCCCATGTCCTTCCCCACCAATGCTCTCAGGAGCTAGTCTCACCAGTGACAGGCGGCTCAACACATGCATGTTCTCCAGGGAATTACTCAAGAATCTATGCCACTGTATTTATCCTTCCACGTCCATGGGCAGCCCATCCTGCTGTTGGACACCCACATCCTTGGCGAGGGCACGTGGCATGACTCCTGGTCAGTGCATGCCGGAACAGCCTGCTGGGCCAGGGCTCAGCTGTCCTCAGCTTCAGTAGGAACTGTGAAAACCGGTGTCCGAGCCCCTGTCACTGGCAGCGACTGGGGGTCCTATAGCCTCACAGTGCTATCGTGGCTGTGGTCACTCTTCAGTCTTAGGTATGCTGGTGGCATAGAGTGGTTCTGATTGGTGATTTACTGTTAATCTTTATTTCCTGTTTTTATTGATTTCCACCTTGATTTTCCCATGGTCAGAGAAGTTTGTGGATCTATGCATTGCCAGTATATGATCTATTTTGGTAAATACTCCACACACCTGTGATCAGAGCCTGTCCCCTGCAGTTGCTGGGCACACACTCTATCCGTGCCGGCCAGGCTAGATTCTTTATTGTTTGTTCAGACTTTCTGTATTTTCCTCGGGATGGGCGCTCACAGTGTTGCCCAGGCTGGGCTGGGCTTGTGACCCTCCTGCCTCCGCCTCCTGAGCCCCTCACAGATATTCACCGCTCTTCTATAATCTAGTGATTTTTAAAAATATATATTTGCAAAGCTGCAGACTTTGATTTTTTTCCTGAATCTGCTGGTTTTTGCTGTGTGTAACCTGAGGATGTCATTAGATCACAGATATCTAAAACGATGCTCTTCCATTCCTGTGAAGGGTCCCTCTCTGTGTCCAGGGATGTTTGCCCTAACATCTGCTCTCGGTGCCGCCTCGCTGGCTGGCCTTCTGCCGGTGATTTCAGTTATGGCAGCTTGGGTTTTCCACTGGCCACAGAGTGCCCATCCCACTCTTTCTGTGACCCTGGCACCTCTTCCAACAGGTAGACAGGAGGAGTTGTGGTCCTCCCCTTGGACCATGTGGACCCTGTGGTGGTGGAGCACAGTAGAAGTGCCACTGTGTGACTGCTGAGTCTAGACCACACACAGCTGATGCCCTGTGGCCCATTCTTTCAGACACAGCCCTTGGATCAGCAATGTGCTCTGAGGAAGCCCAGAGTGATCGCCGCGGAAAGGCCGTCCTCAGGATTCGGGCCAACAGCCCTGGTAAGCCATAACACAAACTGCCCATCGTCCAGAGAGGCCTCTGTGGTCCCAGCCCCCAGCTCTTGAGTCACCCTCAGCCTAAAGTCACCCTTGAGATCTTCCCATTTGAGGTCTCACAACCTACAGCAGACACTAGCTGGCCAGTGTGCCTTGTCCAGGGGCCTCATGGTGATTGTGGAGGATGGCTGTTCTGTATCACTGAATGGTGAAGTCAAAAGGGACTGAAACCCTGCAGCATAAGTTTCCCACTCTCCACGATCTTTGTGTCCCTTTATTTTTGAGGCATAACTCTTATAAATGGTAGGTAGGTTTTTATAGAGAAATGGAGCCAGACAATCTTCGGTTGTTAATTGGAGTATTTAGTCTATCCAAGTGTAAGGTCATGCTTTATGTGTCTGGGTTTAAATCTACTTCCCATCTTCTCCTTATTCTTTGTCCTGCTCTTTCTGCGTTCTTCTCCTCTTTCTCTTTCCTTCTTTGATTGTGTTCCACTGTGTGTCTTCCTTGACTACGGATATGACAGGTTGCACCTGCTGCAAACCTTTCAGCAGTCACACTGGAAATCGCCATGTGCACTCTGGATGTTCACCCACATCTACTGCTTCAGATGCCTTTCAAGATAACTGTCAGAAACCGACAAGGAAGAAAGGGCTGAAACCTGTATCCAGACACACCTCTGGGCGTGCTCCTGACACACGGAGTTCTCTGGCCTGCAGAGTCAGACACCTATTCAGTTTTGGAAGCCATGTTTTCAAAGAAACCATGTGCTTTAAAAAGGCCTCAGGTGGCACAAGCCTTAAAGCAGCTCTGAGCCCTAGACTTCCACAGGCTGCTCTGCCTGCAGGAAGACCTAACCTCCCATCCATTTCAGCTGGGTCCCTGGAGGATAATGGACAAGGAAATGGAGCTGTGGTCAAAGAGAACGACGGGGCAGAAGTCCCCCAGAGAGCCACATCGGGCTGAACCTAGGAGATGCCCACCAATCACGTGACAGTTGGTCTCCCACTCCTCTGATAGGATGGGAGACTTCTTAGCAGTTATAGGTTGGACCATGGGTGCTATGCTCAGGCCTTTGAAGGGGACAAGCAGCAGCCCTACCTGGGAATTGGGCTGTCCCTCTTGGGGGCCAGGGAGTATCCTGTGAGTGGAGGAGCAACACAGACAGGCTTCCCAGAGGGGAGGGGTGCTATGGCAGAGCAAAGACCACTGTGAATCAGCGAACTCCTTCCCTCCTGTTCCTGGGCCACGGACCTTATTTCCCATCCCCCCTTACAAAAAACAAAACAAAACAACAACAACAACAACAAAAAAAAAAACGTGGCCTCATGGAATTTGGAGTTTGGTGGATGGAATATGCTGAAAAGGGACGTGGCCTTTTTCAGAACTGGCCCATAAAAGCCACCCGGGATAGTCTCTGTGGTCTCCCATCTTGCGATGTGGGTGGGCACAGTGACCTTAGATTCCTTGCTTCAAAAACAGTGTCCCACAAGGCAGAAGGAGCTCCATACCTGGCTCTCTTGGGCCCCTGATTTGGAACTTATTAGAGTGAGAAAGAGACACCCTTGACTAGGAAGGCTGGCATGAGCCAGGGACACAAAGCGTCTCACCCCAGCCACACAGCTGCTCCACCCTATGGGGCCTGAGAGGGAGGGGATGCTCCAAGACCCTCCATGCTGATGGGAACATGGTGCTGAATTAAAGGAGCCGTCTGCAAGCTCCTTTTGGCAAAGAGCCTTGGCCAGGGAGTGGTGAGCACCTTCCCTGCTTCCACTCTCTCCAGCAGGGAGGCCTCTGAAACCCCAGGACGCAGGGACCAGCAAGACCCAGGAGGACTGAGAAGCCCTCGGCAGGCGAATCAGAGACACTCCGACGCCGCCACCTGGAGGTGCTCTAGTTGGGCCTTTCCTTCCCCTTTCAGAGACAAGAAGATGGGGGCTCCAGAATCTAGTGGACTGTCACTCTGACTTTGTGTCAGAGCTTTGATCAGGGCTTGGCTCTGCCATCATTCATGGCAGAAGGGGATGGACAGGCGCACACACTACTATTTGAGCAGGCAACGAAGCACAGCATTTCTTTAGTCTCATAGTTTTTCTTAAACATTCATGCAAATTTGTCATTCTACACCATCACATCTCCTCCATGCTTTCAGTGGAAAAGAAAGCTTTGAATCACTTGTCACAGAGCCAGGCGGGCATGCCAGGAAGACGTGTATTTATCACGCTTGGCGCCCTGCCACTTGGCCCCCGGCACGCTTCTCTCCAGTTTGAAAGGTTCCTCATGGAGGCAAAGCTATTTTCGTGTGGGCCTCTGCCCCTCCTGATCCCTTCTCCCACTGTCCTCCCCCCAGCCCCACCACCCTCAGCCCCAGCCCCACCCACTGAATCCACCTGCAGGGCAGACCTGCCAGATACCTACCCACCTGCCTGGTCTGGGCCTGCAGAGCCCCTTTGGGAAGCCTCCGCTGGCCCTTCAAAGGCCACTTGTCCCTTCACCTGCCCACTCCCCCTGTGCCCTAGAGGGTGCTATTTGGACCCACATGCCACACTGCGATCAGCTGGCTCATATGTTTGCCTCCTTCTCAAAGGAGGTCACACGGAGCCCTTGATGTTGGCTACTGCCCCAGCTCAGGGGCTGGCTGTGTGCTCCCGGCCCTACTCCTCGCGCTGTGCCCTGGCCCCTCCCTGACCACTTACTGGCTGGGGAAGTGATTGCGAAGGTAGTGGGCCTGCACTGCCCACATGGTGGCTCCGTCCTCCTCATCTGGAACCAACTGCTCTCCCTCTAGGTCCCCACCAGACGCCATGTCAGCCACCAGCTCCTGCCAGGCAGGGGAAAAGGTGGTTAGAACCAGGTTCCCAGGCTTGGGCGGGGGGAGTGCCAGAAATGTCACCTTGGTGGGACTGGGAATGGGAAGGTCACTGCCTGCTGATACCCAGGGGGGTAAAGCCGGCATGGACAAATCCATCAGGTCTCCAGAGAGTGCCCGGGCCGTGTTCACAGCCACCTGCAGACCTGGTGCTGAAGAAGGGCCTGCTGGGCCCCTTCCACAGGGCCAGCTGGGCAGTGAGGGGAACCGACTCCACTGTAACTGTAGCCATAGGCCCAAGGACAGTCAAATCCCCAGATGAGATGTTCTGTTGAATGGTAGGGTGCTCCGCATGGGCCATTGCGCCAGCCCCTCCACACACACACTCACACACACTCACACACTGGCTGGTGCACACACCTGTTGCCTGCTTGGGGAGAGGCGGAACCAGCCTCCACCAGGCAGCCTTCTAAGGCCGCAGGAGTCTGGGCCTTGGCGGAGGGGCCATCCCACAGCCTCCAAGACACTCCAAGGCCAGAAGGTGGCCCCAACATGGTGGCTGGCCCCCGAAGTGTGGGCAGAGCTGCTGCCCCCTTGTTGAGCTAGGTTCATCAGGGCAAAACCAGGGAGGAGCACTTACCACCAGCCGGCCTGGGTGTCCACACCAAGAGCCCAGGACCCAGATGGAATGTCCAGAAACAGCGTCCAGTGAGAAAGACCAAGCTCTCTCCTCTCTTGGGCAACTTCTCTGAGGAGCAAGTCAGCTGTTAGGAGGAAACCTTAGCCACCCTCTAAATTTAGCCTCTGGCCCCGGACTGGCAGGTCTCTGTCAGGAAGGAATGCAGGCTGGGGCCAGTCCCCAGAAGAGGCCTGCTTAACCCTTTACCTCCTGGCTAAGCCCCCAGACAGTGGCCTTCAGCTGTGGAGTGGGAGGACCCTCACTGTGGACAGAGGGGCCTCGGGAGGCAGCCTCTCCTGGGTCCTCTCCAGGCCCTCCTGCCTGGGCCTGTCCATTCAGAGTCCTTCCCCAGACGGTGGGAATCCTCAGACCTGGAAGAAGAGCCTTAGTTCAGCCTCCGGCATCTGAGAGCAGCAGGTAGGTACGGTGAGCAGCACACTGCGGCTGAAGGGGCCATTGCCTGTGGCGGGGACGGCTGCCTTCCACAGAGGTGACAGTTGTGCTCCTCCACACCCTGCCCTCACTCCAGCCCCCGGAGAAGGCCAGTTGTCAACTTTGGGTGATTAAAAATTGCTTGGGCCTCATAAACATTCAATGAGCTCATAACCCACCTTCTACAGCCCCCATCACTAGGATCAGAGCCCAGAGCCAAGGGTTCTCCCCCTTCCCCACACATTCTCTAGTTACCCATCATCTGTCCATCCATCCATCTATTTTTCTGTCCGTTTAGACACTCACTAGTTTCCTGCTGTGAATCAGCCATGGCACTTGGCCACAGTCAGCGAGGCACACAGCCATTCTTCCTCACACACATACACACTCACACACACTCTCACACACACACAC